TGCACGGGGGGTGCAACACCCCCTGTGGGTGCAAGGGCGACCGGATGCACCATGCACGGCCATCCTGGTGCAACGAGCACCATGCACGGGGCGTGCAAGACCCTGTGCGTGCAAGGGCAACTGGATGATCGTGCACGGCCAGCCTGGTGCAACAAGCACTGTGCACGGGACGTGCAACACACCCTGCGCGTGCAAGGGTGACCAAATGCACCGTGCACGGCCACCCTGGTGCAATGAGCACGGTGCATGAGGCGTGCAAGACCCTGCGTGTGCAAGGGTGACCAAATGCACCGTGCACGGCCACCCTGGTGCAACAAGCACCGTGCACGGGGCGTGCAACACACCCTGTGCGTGCAAGGGCGACCGGATGCACCATGCATGGCCATCCTGGTGCAACAAGCACCGTGCACGGGGCGTGCAAGACCCTGTGCGTGCAAGGGTGACTGAATGCACCGTGCACAGCCATCCTGGTGCAACGAGCACCATGCACAGGGCGTGCAACACACCCTGTGTGTGCAAGGGTGACCAAATGCACCATGCACAGCCACCCTGGTGCAACAAGCACCGTGCACGAGGCGTGCAAGCCCCCGCGTGACCAAATGCACCGTGCACGGCCACCCTGGTGCAACAAGCACCGTGCACGGGGCGTGCAACACACCCTGTGCGTGCAAGGGCGACTGGATGCACCATGCACATCCACCCTGGTGCAATGAGCACCGTGCACGAGGCGTGCAAGACCCTGCGTGTGCAAGGGCGACCGGATGCACCGTGCACGGCCAGCCTGGTGCCACAAGCACCGTGCACGGGGTGTGCAATGCACCCTGTGCGTGCACGCTCCGCACAACACCCGGTGCACACCCGAGCATGTGCAAAACCCCTCGGTGCAACGCACACGGGGCACACTCGTGCACGGCTGCAAAGCTGAGCACCCTTGCACACGCATGTGCATGCACATCCCTGCGAACACTGCCCAGCTCCTTGCACACGCGCGCGCGCACGTCCTGGC